CCTGGTTTGGAGTCTCAGGTCCAACATAATGGTATGTGGGCTTCTGTCTGCTCAAGGGGCATGGCTGGTATATGTCAAAAAGAAAGCAGGAGTGAAAAGGAGAGCTGGCAACCAGAGTACATGCTGTGATGGGCACTTCAGCCTTCTGCATCTTCATCCCTCATGGGGCACAGTGTGCTCAGCTCTCCATGGCCACACGTGTCCATTCACATGAGTGTTGCCCAGGGTAATAGTAACTGTCGCCTAGGTGAATCTGCTGGTACCACATATGCTCTACCACTTCTCCACTGAGGATCATCAGCTTGCCCCTCCATGTGCTACTGCAGTGCAGTCCCCCTAGGCAGAAAGACCCTTCTGCTTTCCACCTCCTCTCACCCTGGCATGAGTCCTTGGAGATGGGAGAATGGCAGCTATAGTGCACTGGCATGGTGCTCATGCTGTGCCCCTGGCAAAGGGAGTTTCTTCATGGATGGAGCCCCCAAAATACACAGAACACACACTTGCAGGGAGAGGTACACGAAATCCACAGTGGGTCATGAGGAGTGCCAGAGAGCAACACTACCAGTTTCTCCACTTTGGCTTTTGTTGCTAGTCCTACTGGATACAGGGGCGCAAATAAGAGTCTGGGATGTAACATACACATGCTTTCTGCACGGTGACACTTCATTCTTTAGAGCATTGTTCTGAGCTACCACTCTGACTGTGCCTTCTGTAGGCCATTCCTGGCTGCCCATGCTATTTGGTAAGTGATACAGACAATGCACCCTACTCCTCTGGATCCATTCACATATGTCAATCACTGAAGTTTGTCTTCTGTCCCTGTGCTTAGTGGCCTGTGACTCCACGGTGCTGGCAGAATCTCTGCACACCAGACAGGGTGTCATTAAGTAAACACGCTCTTCTGCCCTATTCCCACCACCATGGCAGCAATGAGGCCTGTGCACCATGGGCTGCAACCTGAATCAAAACCTCCCCCAGAGCTCCAGGACGGCAGCCTAGAGACAGACAAGCTCTGCGGCATCTTCAGGACATGCACCGTGGTCAAAGGCGCTTGGCTGCAGCATGCACATGAGAGCCTTTGATGGGAAGGCTACTTGAAAGGAGAGATGCAAAGATTAGATTCACACCGGTTAATATAGTGAGCCAGACCATCACTGGATTCTGGCAGCGGCTATAGAACAGAAGAGGGAATATGCCAGCTTGGAACATGTACAAGCCCTCCAAGGGAGAAAGACAGGAGCTGCCAGACAACATCCAGCTATCCTCCAGCATCCACTGGGCCGAGTTACCCTAGTGGGACACATAACCAAGGAGGGAGGATCTGCCAGGTAGCCCTTCTGGACCAGGAAACCACAGAAAGTGCAGCTAGAGACTCATTTAAGCGGCAGTGGCTACAATAGGACCAGTGTGGCCTGGTACAGCATGAGGCAGACGCACGGTCCTGAGGGAATACAGAGAGACAAGTCAAGGCCAGAGGTTCCACGCCATGTCTGTTTAATGACAACAGCACAGAGAAGCCAACTGAAACTATTCTGCTAAGCAAAGAGCCTTGATAGTTGTAGGGAAGTTATTTTATTGTAATTTTTTGCTGGAACTTGGTCTTGTTTTCTGTGTGTGTGTATGGACTGAGCTACCTGTATAGGATCCCTCCTCTTGCTTTTTTCGTGTTCCAGGTATTTAATTATATGTATCCTCATCAGTGTTGGTTTCTTCGTGATATCTAACTTTGCTTCATAGCCATTCAACAACTGGATATAATAAATGAAACTCCTCTGTAAATAGTGTTAGGGCTTTTGTTTTATGGTGCCAGGGATTGAACTCACGACCTTGTACTTCCCAGGCAAGTGCTCATTCTACTAAGCTATTTCCCCAGCCACTGTCTTAGGGCTTTGAACCTAGCATTTAGAACATGTTATGCTTGGGGCCAGCAACATACCTCAGCAGTCTAAAGCGCCTGTTTAGGCAAGCGTAGGCAACCACCGGGACAGCTGTTCAATCTCTGGTATCACATGCTGTCCTAGTCCCTCCCCCAGGACAGGCTGAGTGGGCCGCCAAAAAAAAAAAAAAAGACTTCCCTATGGCAAAACTGATACAGGATCCATAGACACAAGCACATCACAAAGAAAGCCATTTACCAAATCATCCCTACGAGACACAGGAGGACACAATCTATGCAAAGGAACACAGCTATAATAAGGAAAAACAGAATCTTATTGTTAAAAAAAAAACTCCTAAGTTGCCAAAACATATCACAAATTCACTGAAGTGCATGAAGTTTAAACAAATTCTGGAAGTTAAAATTCAAAATGATGAAAGATCAAAGAAAATACAAATAAGCAACTGAAGAAAGTAATTTCTAATTGGACCATCATACTTAAAGAAAACACAGATAAGCAGGTAAATCGACCAGCCCTGTTCTCCTCACAGAGCTCCCGAGGTTCTAGGAACCTCACCATCATGGTCACAGTGGTGGCCGTGGTCAGGAGGCAAAGTTTGTCCCCTCCCAGGCAGCTCACCAAAGCTCCTGAGTTTCCCAGGCTCATGGTACACTCTGTCAGTGTTGAGCGGGTGGAGTATCTCTGACTTACGAATATTGAATGAACAAAATGTCAAAATTCAGACCAGTCTGCTAAGAAGCAATCTCTGTAGCATTTTATGTAGTAAAATAACTCTAGAAACCAGGAAAAGCCAAGGAACACATGGATTTCCTA